AATCACAGAGATTGAAGCCAGAGGGGCTCGTATTAATCTCAGACATGGCTAATGTCACAGATTTCCAGGTCAGTCGTTTGTGCAGTTTAGTCCCTGTGTTGTCACTTCAATAGGGGTGTAGGTACCTGCTCTTGAGCTGCAGAAATTCAGCCAGCTTGCCGTTCCCTCCTGCTTTTTGTGTGTGCGTGTGGATTTGTTTGTGAACTAGCTTGATGATTCATGGTTGAATTTTCTGTTCTGTGCCCCAGGAATATTCGAAATCTGGATTTGAATCTGAATTGAAATCCCCGATGGGCCCGGCCTTCCCGGACGGCTCCGCACCCAGACGCGGCTCCGTGGGCCCTCGTGCCCGTCGTCCCCCCGCGCTGTCCCAGTGTGTCCGGGCAGATCCCAGCCCTGGGGCCTGGGGAGAAGGGCCGGCCTGGCCGAGCTTCTCCCTGAGAAGCCACCCTGGAACCCAAATCCCTAACGGGCACCAGGGGAAATCAGGGGTTAAGCTAAAGCTCCAGGGCGTTTTCACTCTGTCTCACAGTTACAGCATGAAAAAATTACCGGGCACCTTCACCAGCTGCGGAGTTCCTGCCTGGGAGAAAATAAGTCTTCCCAAGGCATTTTTAAGAGCAGAGTGTTCTTTTCTCCAATATCATTCATATGATGAAGGACATTTTTTAGTATCTATAATTTTTTTTCTTTTTTGCACTCGCATTACTCCCTGACCTCATCACATACAGCAGGACAGGTAGATTGCCGGTGTGCTGCTGTCTCCAAAAGCAGTAACAACTTTGATCTGAACACCTGTAATTAGAAGGAAATAGCTGCTTTTATGCTGTTCCAGTGCCTGCATGTTCTGTTACATATGAGTATTAATACAAAAAATCTTTGTGTCCTTCCAGCGTGCAGGGAGGACGGAGGAGGAGGGAGACGAGCCTGGAAGCAGGGGCAGGAAGGAGGTAGCAGAGGAGGCGCCTTGTGTTCTGCCTGGGCCTGGATTTATCCCTTTGGATAAATCCTGGTAGCAGAGCACTGCAGAGAGGCAGATGGAGGTGGGTTTTACCAGCGCTCGTATTAATTGATGGGCAAGAAGGAGCTAAGACTTTTCACGGGTGTTTGCAAATGACCCTGAATTAGAAGGCAGGGAGCAGAGCAGCAGGGAAACTCGGCTGGAGAGCGCCGGCTTTAACGTGGCAGTGACAAATGGCAGAGCAAGATTGATTTTGTACAAGTACATTGGTTTTGCAACTGGAAAATAATCTGAAATATGAGCACAGAAAATCCTAGGGAAAAGTAGCACCGAAGAAGGTGAAATGGTAACGGACAGAGAATTAGGCAGGATTTTGCTTTAAACATGACGAAAAGCAGATAGGTTATGGTTTACATTTTGTCTGCATAGACTGCTGGCCTTCTGCTGTGGAGCCGCCGGCCCGTCTCTCCCTGCATTAACTCGTGTTTACGGAGCCCGAGAGCCCAGTCCAAGGGCAGGGAGCGTCGCAGGAGGAGCAGGGGAATCTCGCTGCACGTTTAATTCCTCGCAGGCTGGAAGAATAGAACATACACAGCTTCTCTCCAGGAAAATTAAAGCTCTATCAGCCCATACGGATCGTTGAAAAGAAGGATCAGGTGGAAAACCATGGTTAGGTTTGCAAGTTACTTCAAAACTTATTCAAGTTACTATGAAAAAGTAAATCTAAGCTAGAAAGCCCCAGCAGTCCCGTGTTCACAGCCCGCTGCCCAACGCCTTTTTTTGGCCTCGGTAGCTGATTTTCACCCCTTCTCCTGGCTGGGGCTGGGGCATGGGAAGGTGCCCGCTCTCTCAGGTGAGAACGTGCCCGTGCGGGGGCCCCGGTGGCCACAGGGTCATTCTATGGACCCAGTGGCCACGGATCACGTCACCGTTCTGAGCTTCTTCATTCACACTCATACGTGAATATAAATATGTATAAATTGGTGATTATCATTCATAGACTTCAAAGTGACAGAGACAGAAGGATCAGTGTGACCCGATTCTGAGCTGGCCGTTTAACCCAGCTCTGTGGTTGCCCTGAACTACTTATTCTTTGAGCCACATCATATATATATTACATATATACTGTTTTAACAATATCCAGTGGTCAAGAATTCAAGCTATCCTATTTAAGATTTACTTGTTGTTGTTGCTCTTTGCTCTCAGTTTAAAAATCCGTCCTGGTCTGAATTTTTCAACCCGATTTCTTTCCTCTCCTCGGCGCCGTCCCGGCCACGGGAGGGCTCTGGCCTCGCGCTCCTGCACCAGGGAGGGTTCTCGCTGCTCTCCTCTCCTTCTCCACCCTATGGCTGTTCTCCAACTCATCGCGCGTCGCCTTCTTCATTGAGCTGCACATTGAGGACTGCAGACAATGCGCCATTTGCGGTCAGCTGGTCGCCAAGTACAGAGATAATAATATATGTCTAGTTACTTTTTTTTTTTTGATAAATACATAAATACCAATCACAGAAGACTTTCTGTTCACAGCACGGTTTGCATCTACTTCTCTCCCAAGTTTTCCAGCCTATGTTTCCTAAGGCATAAATACAGCAACCTGCTCTCCTCCTACACTCACACTATATTATATTATCATTATATTATATTATGGCATAATGAAACACAAAGCACTTTTGTGTAGCAGTTGCTCTCATCTGTTGCCACTCCCTAATTTTGTTTTATCCACAGACTTCCACCAGGTGTGGTTTTATATTGTATTTGAACTTAGTAATAAAAATTACAATTTCACAGATGATATAGAACCAAATGTGATTTTCTGTGTGATTAAATAGAAAGAAACATCTGCTTAGTGATGACTCCATCTTTAAAAATGCAGTTGGAAGTTTGTCTGGATTTTAATCCCTCGTATACATGTTACATGCAGAGCTGTACAATCATGCAGATTGGCATTACTGCTTTCTTTCACACACGTGCTCTAATCAAGGGGGTATCAGGCTATTTTTACAACATCAACTTTCCATAAACCCAAGTTAACGCAGATGTATAATCCCCTCCCTTAATTCCTCATAAATAGCATTGTTATCAGCTCTTCTGTTCCTGTGCCTGTGATCATCATCTGTTGAGAGCCCAGAATTGTCTCTCTTATCGTGGTGTTTACTCTTCAAATATTGGAGCCTATTTTTATCCTGCTCTTTTGAAACTCGCCCACTACTTGAAGTGTTAGTAAGAACGGCCACGAGAGGTGCTCAGCCCCATCAGTTTTACAAACCCATGCAGTGCGTTATCTGAGCCGCGCGACGCCGGGACACCGAACTGCAGACACCCGGTCACTGCCCGGGATGCGACGCGCCAGCCAGGCGACACTGCCGGAAAATCCTCCCGCCTCTCGCGCGTTATTTTTGACAGCTCTGTTTGTAGCACTTTTGCACTTAATAACATATATTTTAAATCCCTCTTATTGTCTTTGACTGGCTGATGATAGGTTTCCCTTGTCTTGTGTTTCGTTTCTCTTCTCGGTTTCCTTCAAGCCGCTGGCTGCACTGAAGGGAGGCCGAGCGGGCGGCCCTCCTCCTGGGCGCGCTGCCGATGGGGCCCGGTCTCGCACCGGCTTCACGTGCTGCGTTTATTCGAGTGCTCATTTTTGCTCCGCGAGAACCACGGCACGAGGGCGCGCGCAGGGGGGCGCCTGGCTCTGATCAGAGCCCACGTGCTGGCCCTGGGGGGCCGCGGGCGCTATATCCACCCCAAAACAGCGCTATTTTGTGCGGTCTGCGGCACCCCTGGGGCTCGTGGGCTGCTGCCGGGACATCCCTGGCTGCAAGGACATTCCCAAGGACATCCCTGAGCTTCCTGCAGTGGGGCGGGATGAGGATGAGGAGGGCACCAAGGGCGAGGAGGGTGATGGGGAGCACTGAGGATGAGGAAGGGGGGTGAAGGTGAAGAGAACGTGGAGAAGGGGGGTGAGGAGAGCCCTGAGATGATGGTGAGGATCAGGAGGAGGGCACCAAGGGTGAGTGGGATGAGGAGGAGGTGGGGGGTGGGGAAGGGGAGGAAGGCCAGGAGGTTGGGGAGGGTGCAGTAGGCACAGCAGTGGATGAGCGGGGTGATGAGGAGGGTGAGGAAGCCGTGGAAGGTAAGGAGGGTGCCGTGGAGGAGAAAGGTGCTCAGGGTGAGGATGAGGAAGAAGGCGCTGAGGATGTTGGGGGATGAGGAGGGCATTGTGCAGGAGGGGGGGTTCTGAGGAAGAGGAGGGTGAAGAAAGCGCCTAGGATGAGCGGGGTGACGAGGAAGGCGCCGAGCGCGGGGCGGGGCCAAGGGTGGGCGGGGCCAAGGGCGGGCGGGGGGCGGTCCCGCGGGTGAGGGGCGGGGCCAAGGGCG